ACTTCCCCCCCCCCCTCCTTCCTGGTACTGTTCGGCTGCTCCCTCCCCTTAGTTATCATCTTTCTTTCACTGCTCTTTGATGTTGCGCGTGTGTCCGGCTGACCGCTCCGGCTAGATGATCAAACCAGTTTTCCGTTCGATGAACTAGTATATGAATGGGAATTCGCCAGGTTAATTTTTTTTCCGAGTTCAACGTCGTCTGTGAAGTGGGGGAGAAGGAGAAAGGTAAGAGGAGGATTGGAGAAGTGGAGGGGAAAGTTCCAATCAAAGGAAAGGAGTTGAGGGTCCAGAACTTTGATCTCCGACGCGGGAATACGATGCACGTAAGACCTTGTTTATCGCATATTTTGAAGACAGGGTCTTGGATATCAATCATTTCCTTTAAAAACTGAAGGCATTTTTTTGAATACAGCCCGTGCAGAGGCTGGCCCCTTCAACACAATTGAGCCGGACAAGATCCTTGCATCACTTTTTTGGGAAAACGCTCAGACAGCCGGGTCTATAATGGCAGATCACAGATCACAGGCCACAACGAATACTCTGGGGATATCGGAATATCATTGCCTTTATACAGCCCACCCCACGGCTGCACATCCAGTACAAATCAGTGTACGATCTTTATTTATCTCTTTGTCTGGATATATCCTCTCAGCCAACACTCAACAGCACTTCCGGGAAGACATCAATCAGAACAAGAGTACCCTGTCTAAGAGCGGGTTTTCCATGAATGGCTAAAGATCGTTTATCCTCCCCCATTCTTCTGCTCCTTTTCCTTCCCACCGGCTAAATCAACCGCATCCCAAATCAACCCCGGGAATTTCTCTTCTTCTTCAATCACCATTTCCCCTCACAGCCTTCCGTTCTCTTTTTTGTATTGTACGGCGTCATCCCCCGATCGAGTCGCGTGCAGGCTTATGAATGTTTCCTTCTCTGGCAAAAACCTCATCCAGGCGGGCAGAAGATGCCACCCGGCTACAATACGAATAAACAAGAGGGGTGGACCTCTAAGTCCACCCCCCTCTTTCGAATCTGGCTATGTGGCGCGTGCCGCGCAGGCTTGACCCCGATCCTTGCGCCGGTTGGCGGCGCCGCCCTACCCCCCAAACTTAATATCACGATTCGACGGTAAATGAGACTGGATAGAGATAGGTCGTCATCGGAATCGGGGGGTTCCCCCAGCACAAATTAAGCAACCCCGAGACCGAGCCGCCGGCTATGAGCACGCCAGAAAAGTATAGAAGAAGAGTTCACCCATAGTGCCCAGGACACAGGGCACCCAGAGATGACAGCGATGAGTGGTTAGGTGAGGGAGCTTGAGGTCTGACAGCTAACCGTCTTCACTGCCGACCATGCCTACATCTGAAGGGGACGTTAGTATACGCGTGTGGAAGTCTGGCGAGGGTACACACGGGGGGGTCTGAATGGGGAAAAACTAAAAAAGAAAATTGTGGAAGATAAATGAGGAGTAATGAGTTGTAAGAAAGTGATTATGATATGTAAAAGATAATGGCTACCAAAAAAGGTGTATTAATGGTTACATATAAAAATGAGAGGATGAACGTTAATAAGTATGATAAAAGAATGATAGAAAATGGTAGGGAATGAATCACCTTATAATAAAATTTATAAATGTAAATTAGAATGAAATGGGAATTAAGAACTTACTAAGTGATGTAAGGTGGAGAAATAAATGTTAAAATTTGATTGTGAGTTGTTTTTAAGAAGTTGCACAAATTTGAGTGGATGTCACGTGGCCTAAAGAAAAAATAAAGGCGTTTAAAGCGTCATGTACTATTGTCTAACAAGAACGAGAAGCGACAGACTGGGTGCAAAAGTCATGACACGAAAAGGGACTAACAGTTCCTCATAGTTAGTGTGCTGCAGAGAACCACTCTCAGATACTCACACCGCCCAACTGCTCCACATACCCCACGGCCCTCATGTGAGAATCATCAGTCAGCGAAGGTCCCGATACCTGATGATTAAACGGACCCGTGGCCGCGCATCAGATTCTGGAGTATAGTCTTTGGCCCTGCCATCAGAACCCCTGTGTCCGTGTGACATCCAGCAGAGTAGAAATGAACTTGTTCAATGGCTGGGACTTGTGCGGTGATCTCTGGATTGAGCATGTAGGCACTTGCTATACATACAGCTAAGACATTAAATTATAATTTCGAAGGAAAGAATAATGTCTCTCTTAAATATTTTTATAAGCTGTATATAATCCAACAAAAAGTGCAACCTCAAAGGCAATATAATGTACTTTGTCTCGCAACCAGGTGTATACTCAAAAAAACGTCGGTCTGATTATTGGGTTTATTTACGTGCAATCCATGTGTGTCTTGACCATGTACATACCCGCACATACTACCCCGATTGACTAATCATCGCCACCTCTCACTGACAGTTGCCCCTGAAGGGGACAAGGAGAGCTAGACCATATCACGGCCAGGGGGCTTTGGGGTAGACCACCAGCTGGGATGAGGCCGCAGCGCCAACTGACGCCAGTCTCTCAATTATCCATTGTCTGCTCCAACTGAGGCCCTTGCCCACTGTACACCTGGTAGCTGTCGGCACACACATTGGCATAATAATGGAAAAGAAGAGTACAATTAATCTGTTCTGTCATTCATATCTCTGAAACTATGGGTATGATGATCTCACACCTGCAGATACGGTTTTCTGCTATAGTCTTTAGCGAATACAAAAAAAGGTACGAAGAGGTAACGTTATAACCTCTAAGCGCCGCCTCTACGCGCTGGTTGTGTCAAACTCCTTCAAGTGGCTCGTTTGGTATACCGAACCGGCACCAAAATTCCTCTTCTACTTTAAAACTATGCGCAGCATGTAGCCCCGGAGCCCCATCATCACCGCGAACACTAGCTGCAATTCGCGCCAAAACACTAAGCTGTAATAATGCACATAAAGGTGTGGTCCTAAGCCCTTACTAGTTCCTACCCGGCGAGAGATATTCAGTGTACGACTTGGACACCACCATATTATCCTGCCCCCACCCTGGTGTTTTGCATTGTACACTGCTGTACAAGCGAGCCTAGAGAACTTGCCTAGTTTTCCCCTTGGCAGTGAGACATGCTGAGGAGACGGTATCATAAAGTTCGCTAGCGCCCTGGAGGGAACATACAGTTCCTAATTTTTATGTCACGTCTTCATCTTGCTTGACCAACTTGCACACATAACATACTTACCAGGGCCTGTCCTCCTGCAGGTCTAGGTAATTGGACGATCTCGTGAGTGCAAGCCGAAGGCAAAGAACAAGCCTCGCAATTTCTCTTGCACACTCCAACTAAGCGCACCAAGGGGTGATCTTTGACCTTTCGTTGTTGAAAGCTCGACTCGTCCTGGTGGGTTGTGACGCTATGGCTCTTTTCTATGAAGAGGGGTGAGTGTGTTTGGGCATTCTCAAGTGACTAAGTTGGTGTGTTGTTTTTGCGTTAAGCGCGTTTTTTTTTGTTTTTTTTTTTTTTTTTTTTGTGTTTTGGTTTTTTTTTTTTTTTTTGTGTTGCTCCTCCTCCAACTCTCACTGTCCGTCCTTGAGAAGGTTTCCTATCTCCAGACTGCACTAAGTAGCTGAATCGTTAGAGCCGGGTGTTGTAAACTTCTTGTCTCTCTCTCTCTCTCTCTGTTCTTCCCAGTGTACGGAGCTCTACCAGCAGCAGTACATCGACCAGTGAAGGATATGTGAGTCGTAACAAGAAGATGGGTCGACCGCTCAGCCCCTCACTTCGTCTGCTGGGCATCGAGGTCAGTCACATATACCACCCTCTTCCTCATTCAGTTATGCTATAACATGAACAATTTTCACAGTCACAAACACAGGTGAGATGAAAAGCTTGACAAACACTGATTGATTAGCTATAGATGTGAAATGTTTCTTTGCATCCCCCATTACTGACCGACTGTGTTGCCAAACCTTTTTTGTTCTTAGCGTTTTTATTTCATGGTTTAGTTACACGTTAGGTTGCATGCACTGTGATAGAGAGATGTACGTATTCTACTGCAGCCCAGACATGGTGTGGGTGCTGTCTTTCGGTCATCGTACCTCAGGAGCCGTCCTCACTTCTGGTGAGGGGAGCAGTGACATACACAACATACAAGCTGGCACACCGTTCTTCCTTCTCCCCTCACTTCTCTCCCTCCCTCCCTCCCTCCCTCCCTCCCCCCTTCTCTCCCCCCCCTCATGTCCAGGAGTGACAGCAGCCTCCATAGCCTACCTGATATCAGGGACTCAGTTCACGGAGTTCATCTCACCTCTCCAGTCAGTGGCCAGTCAGCCTGTCCTCTGGACCTCGGCCAAGTTCCTCATGGCCCTTCCTCTCTCCTACCACATGGTCAACGGCATCAGACATCTGGTGAGAGAGACCTCAGATCCCTTTATGCAGCAGCGTGTTTGAGTAACCTCAAACTGTGGGTTTTGAAACCTCATTGACTATAGGGCAAATCAAGAGAGAGTTACGGAGGCACATGTCTTCAACCTCTTTTCAATTCCGAATGTGCCTTAATTTTCTGTTTTTATGCATCAAGACTTTACCAATTAGTGGAAACGTTTTGTAGTAGGAACATTTTGTAACCCTTGTTAAATTTTCATGGTTTTAAAAGTCCGTACATCGAGGTGGTATAATATGTACTATTTTAATATACAAAATCCAAGTGAACAAGCCAATATGCTAATTAGCACAGGCTTGCCTTGACCGTCCGCTTGCTCGTATCTCTATTCCTCTGTACAACTGTGGTTTATTTCTGTATGCGTATATACAGGCATGGGACACTGGTAGAGGGTTTGAGCTGAAGACGCTGTACAAGACAGGCTACCTCATGCTGACTGCTACACTGCTCCTGACTGGGGTCCTCACTCTCTATAAACCCTCGTCTTAGATAAAACCTTAACTGATCATTGTACGTAGTGTGTTCTGCTTGCAGCAGTTGATATATACAATGCAATGTGGTTGTTGTCTGTTTCGTTCGTCAGTGTTCTTTGCTTGTGCTGATTGAAGATGGACTAGTTTCTCATCAGCCTCATACAAAAATTTCACATCTTGACACAAATTTGAAACTCTAGAATGGACGTAGCTATCAATAGAATTCATGGGGTGACAGTTTCTGGTATAAAATGTCGTTTCCAAAGGGCACCAGTCATATGGTGGATGAATGGTTGGAAGGGATGGTGGAGGTTGGAGCTCCAACGATGACCTCCTTCTCCGGCCCGAACTGTGGCTGGCGTGCCACGAGGTAGCGAGTCATGTCCACCCCCAGTTCTCGCAGGCTCTCGAGGTGAGCCGCCTTCAGCTGGTGCTCCTTCTTCTCCACCTCCAACTTAGCTTCCAGCTGGGAGACGGGGGAAACGCAATTTGTGAATGTAGCATTCTATTTGTCATGTATATACTACTGTGCTATACAAGAACTTGGCAGTTTACGTGTACAGGTGACAATCTGCATGGATAGCTTTCTTCACTGACCTCCTCGGCTTCCAACTTGAGTGCACTCTGGTAGACGAGTCTCTCCTCCTCCAGCACCCAGTCCTGCGTCAGTTTCTGCATCTCCTGTGTGTGGTCCTGGAGCTTCTGCTCCATCTCATGCTCTGGACACACACACACACACACAGCCATGAGGCTCCATAGGATGAGTGCTCAGCCTATTATTATAGTGTCATATGCAGTGGGTTGACTCCCACTCATGCAGCTGGTTTTGCTGCTTTGAAAGAAACGTCATCCTAATGATAATGGATGCTTTTGCATTTGCATTAAACCTAAGTTATTAGCACACGCGTGTAATAGAATATGGGAGCAGATTGAACTGTCACTTACTGATAACTATATCATGAAAGTTAATGTACTATCACGTAAGTTGCCCAGTGTATGTATATGTACGCTGGATGTTGCAGGTATTGGGCATAAAGATAGTGAGTGTGGAGTAAGAGATACACTTACTCAGCTTGATTCTCTCTTTCTCTCTCCTCAGTTTGAACTCCTCGAGAGCTTGCGTCTGCTCCTCGCTCTCTGACATCAGCTTCAGGTGGACTCGCGACTGAATGGCCTCGTCATGTGTCGCCTACACAACATACACAGTAAGACATCTACACCTCATATGTACATCTCTATAGACAAACGTTTTGTATGCAGAAAATAAAGTGAAGCACAGGGGGATAGGGTAAAGGAAGGGGAGTAGAGGTGAAGTAGGATAAGGTGTAGCTGCAAGGATAAAGTTATAACGTAGATGCATTTAGAGTGTAGGTGTATTAAAAACTACTCCTCAGCCCTACTTGTGTACATGCCTCTGAGATCCACTAAAGCACTAATCAAACTAGCATACAGTTATGTGTTGTTAAAGCTCTGTTTTGACTGGGGAAATCTTACACAGTGTCACACCCTAATACATATGTACATTACCGTAAATTGTACCTCAGTTGGTAAAGCGCTCGCCTAGCCTAGACAGCAGTGTCTTGGGTTCAAATCCCACCTAGGACAACTCCTTTTTCCTTGGAAAAAAGGAGCTGTCCTGGGTGTAGTTGATTTGTTTGTCTTTGTCTTGCTACCTCACGTTTGTTGACACATGCGTTCAGCATACGTAGTACTGTAGCTGACTAGCTGGACTCTGACCTGGAGTCTCTGTGGGGCCTGGTAGCCACGGTAGACCACCTTGGAGATACGGTAGCCGATACGCTCCGCTCTAGAGGTGAGCTGAGGGTAGGATTCCAGGGCTCCAAGGTACGCTGTGTCTTGTAGGAACACCTCATACCTGCATAGATGTGTATGTAGGTTGGTTTGTACTATACTCACTGACTGATTCATTGGAGGAAAGAAGAGGGAGAGGGAGCGAGGAGTGAGGAGTGAGAATGAAGGGACAAGGCAGAGGGAGGAGGGGAAGGAGTGAGTAAAGAGGGAGAACAAAGAAGAGGGAGAATGGAGTGAGAAGGGAGGAGTGAGAATGAAGGGACTAGGGAGGGGAGGAGGGAAGGGGTGAGCGAGGAGAGGGGGAACAAGGGAAGAGGAAGAGAGGTAAGGAAGACAGAGAGAGAGGTGGTGTTTACGTTCTCTGGGAGGCCAAGCTGACGATGTCAGATGACACGGCGTTGATCATGTCAGCAATAGGATCATGGGTCAGGTTCAGCTGAGAATGGGAAACACCATCAGAAACAATCCTGACTAACACAAGAGAATGAATGGTGACAAAACAGTGAGGTCTAGAGCTAGGGACAGAACAAATAGTAAGGCCCTCGCTGATCAGAGTACCTAACTTAAAGACAAGTAGAGAGAGCACATTACAAGTGTCACAAAACCTAACTAATGTGTACCATTGTGTTCACATCCACCAGTTCGTAGAAGAGCATGAGTTTGACGGTGATGAGAGTGTCGTTCTTTGTCCGCACGTCCCTAACGTTGTAGTAGAACTGACTCGGGACTCGACACAGCTGCTGGAATATGTTTCCTTTGGGAGTGAACCGACTGGGGTCGTTGGGGTGACTTCCGTGCCAGGTGAACTCGTGGAGCCTTCGGAGAGAGAGGAGGGGAGGGGTGGACACTGGGCATTTGATGTGGAGGTGTATATGGAGTCAGTAGTACAGTAATTAGTAGGGATATGGAGAGATTTCCTAGGCAAAAATCCTCACAAATTGGCAGTTAAGCTACCCACACTGATTTTTTTTGAGAATTACGCTTGTAAAATCCGAAAATCCTTAAAGAGACACATTTACATGAAGAAGGGGAATGAACGAAGGAAGGAAATTAGAAAAAGAAGGTAGAAGGGAGAGAGGTGTCCCACCATTCGTGGGCAGAGGGAATGAAAACGGTGGGCCCCTCCACCACCCTCCTCTCAATGTGGCCCTCCTCCTGTTTGTAGACCACCAGGAGGTGGTTGGCGTCCAGCTTGATGGAGTCCCTCACCCTGACGGACTCTATCTCCAGTCTGTTGTGGAACAGTTCCTTCGGTCTGGACCAGAGAGAAAGAGAATCATCACAACTACCCATTATTGCACCTTTTTGGGACCTGTATACATACAGACGAACTTACAGGCATTGCACCTGTTATCTACAATTAGACATACATTTTCAATGAGAGCATGGCATAATGTGAGAGGTTCAAAACAATTACTGATGCTGCGTTGTATATAGACTTGGTACACAGCTCTGCATCATCATCCATTGCATTTTACACAAGCGGCGGATATCTGAACAATGTTAGATCAACTGCACGGTGGAGATGTAGTGGATATCCACGTGTGTAGTGTCGTGCACAGTAGGAGTCAACCACTGACATACCCTGGCTCATTCTCTTTCCTGCCATCTCGGTACTTCACCTCCAGGTACTGGTTCTGGTCGGCCACGTAGCGAGGAAGGAACTCTATTTCCCCACGCAGTACGTACACCTGTAGATATACGGCCACCCCCACACACACACCAAACATAGGGTGTAAAATTAACTACGCATCCACAGTCTCCTGCCATTACACTGGTCTCTTACCCTTCTGGGCCCAACTACGAGTGTGCCTGATCCTCCGCTACTAAACACCAGGGCTTGCTCGCCTTCCTTGATGGTGTGATACCCCATAGCCACACGCTTCTCTCTTCTCCACCTCCACTAAATCTCGTCTTCCTGAAAATTATTGACCCGCCCTTTGTCTGAGTCCCGATTCCGCTCCAGGGTGAGGGGCGGGGCAGTTTTGGAGAACACGTGTGTGTATTTTTCTGTAGAAAGAAAGGCACACAAGAAGGTATGGGGAACAGGTACGCCACAGCGAGATGTGCGGGCGAAGGAGGCCAGCAGCCAGCCAACCTACCGCCTCTGCCGCCTCTAACAGCTGGTGAGGGAGGGAATATTTGCAGGTCAAGGGTGAGAGGTGGGCGGGGGAAACTGGGCTGCATTCCATGTTACGTTTTGGCATGGAATGTGGTCCAGTGTCCACGTGATCAGGTGGGTATTGGGTGTTGTCCCCCTTATTCCCAAGTGGCTATGGCGCAATCCACAGCGGGCGTACCATACACACAGTAAAACATGTCGGAATGGCACAATTGAATTTCTCTTGGGCAAAAATGTGTAGTTGCGTATGATTATTATGTTTTACGTGTGTGTTTGTTTCAGCAGTTGCCACCAGAGCTGAATTTCTACTCGGTTTATAAAAAAATGCCGAAGGAGTAACATCTTGCCTGCGATATCTTGTGGTGCTGTAGAATAAGCTATGTAGCTACTATCCCATGTAGTTGGAGTTTGAGAAAGGCTACACGTACATACCAGGAGGGGTTTGCCTTCAAGTGTGGATTTCTCTTGAACTCTGTGTACGAACTGTTTGGGTTAACATGGCGTATTCTTCACACGTAATGGACTTAAAGTGACACTGCTCTCAATATGTAATAATAACTGTTATAGTTTACCTGTAACAGGTACGTATGTGTATGTAGTTGGTCTCCCACCTTCGTGACGCCCATTTGGTTGGGGGATGATTATATGGCGATTGCTGGGGTAATTGGACTCTCTATGGAGGTGTGGCCTTTTGTGAACTGAACAGTTTGAGGTCACTGTTTCCCATTCACTACCCCCTTACAGTAGGTTGGGTGTTACTGTCCCTATAGCATCAGACATACTATTATTTTTTTGTATGCTCCAAATACAGAAGCTCAATTTTGTGACACTTTTGCAAAAAAAACAGCTGACAAAGTGTAAAACCCCGACTTATATTATACTCTGTGTGCTGCAGAAGCTCCACGTGGCCAGTCTGGGGGTCCGGCAACAGCAGGACTAAGGGAGGAGAGACGGGCATGGAATCCTGGAGAATTTGAAGAACTTGGCAAAAAAATCAAAGGTTTCGGCGACTGTTGTTTCTCTCTTGTTTATCTCCCTTCTCTCTCCCCGACTCCCTTCTCCTTTCTCACTTCCTCCCTTACTCCCTGACTCGCCCACGTCATCCTCTTGACTTGGCATTGATCACAAGAGAGTACGGTGTATTATGCACTTCCCTTTACTCCCACTGAGAGGCATGTAAGGATTCAAAGCCTTGACATACTCGCTCACCAGATATCCCTAGGCAACCGACATGTACATATGAAGCTAGGTACTGGGGGATTGTATCAGCCTATACAATCCTACGTGTGCAAGCAGGGTTCATACATGTCAGTTTGCCTAGGGATATCCTGTTGCAGAACCCAGACAGGACAGCATTCGCCCTTACAGGGCTCATGCTGTCCTGTCTGGGCACTGCAACCTATTCTCTGGTTTTGGTGCTACATACACCTCCATACCATCAACACTATAAAGGTGTGTTTACTATAGTCATATGTAAATACCCCAAGGGTGTGTAGATGTGTAATAGTATGTGTCTGCCAAGGCAAGGAGTGGTGCATGCAAATGCTCTAAGAAAGGTTATGTGGTTTTAATAAGGGTATTAGGTAAATGTGTGGGACATAAACCCGAGTGACACTTATTCCCCAGAGCAAATAAACCCGCAGTTTTTCGAGGGGTGTAAGGTGGCGCTGGGCAAGGGGCTGAGCAGGTATTTTCAGACGACGCACACTGTGGTCCTGGGCACCTCGCAGCCGGCCAGCTACCAGTACGGCGTCACTTACGTCGGCTCCAAAAAGATCGCCGATAATGACGTGAGTCATTCTTCAGTTCACTACCACCTGGCTTTTCGCAATAGGACAAGTCACTGGTTTTTGTTGACAGTTATGAAAATTGTACTCTTTGTTTATCCTCGTCCTCACAGTATAGACCAATTATGCTGGGAGAAATTTCTACCAACGGCAACTTTAGCGCTCTATTTCTGCACCAGATTGCGAAAGCGTGGAAGGTTAAAATCAATACTCAGGTGAGAACAGGTAGCAACTTTACATTAGGATGTCAAAATCGGTTGTCTGAGAGCCTAGAAAAGCTGTGCAAAAGTACTGTAACCCTCGCTGCACATGCACACCCAGGGTTAAACACCATGGGTATCTCCCCATAAAATCATGTATAAAGGTATAAAGTAATAGCATGACCTCATAATGGACATATGGAGGCTCTTGACAAATTTATGTGTCCGTGGGTGGTAGCATCCCTTTCTACTCGGTATGTGCATCTTATATTTTAGAAGGCTCCGTCTCACATATATATCAATGTGTTTGGCCTAGTTTTATAACTCAGACAGTGTGCCATAAGTGCGAAATTGTTAATGCACTCCTTCAAACAGATGCAGGAGTCCAAGTGGGTGGCCTACCAGGGGTCCCTGGACTACCAGGGCTCCGACTTCACGGCCTCTCTCACCCTCGCCAACCCCAACCTCCTGGACGGGAGTGTCGTGGGAGTGGCCCAGTATCTGCAGGCGCTGAATCCCAGGTAAGATTTATGTATGGCGTAAAATAGTACGGTGTGTTAGCAAGGCAAAGCAAACAACATAGATATAGCCAGGATAACTCTTGTTTCCAAAGAAAAAGGAGCTGTGTATGTTTGTATGTGTGTGCCTTGATTATGTTAGGCGCAAAGTTCGGATTCAGGCCATCCTAGGATTGCGTTGTGCAGTCGCGCAAACGTCACGAAAGGCCAAGCTGCGATCCTAGCGCTGCTGCTGCGATCCTAGCGCTGGCAGGGATACTGTGAAACCTGAGAAGCGCATAACAGCCCTTTTTATATGCCTTAGCTACATCTAGGGTCTGCGCAGTACATCCTAGGTTTGTCTGCGCTATCCTAGGATTTCTGAGGCCATTGAGAGAAAAGAATGCCCTTCCTAGGATGGTCCAAAACCGAACTTTGCGCCTAATTGGTCTAGTCTCACAAGCCAGCCAAAATTTCCCCCTTGCCATGTTCACTCAGGGCAGTTTGACTTATACGATTATTCTCTAGCTAGTATATAGTTGGTCATCATTACTGGAATGGTATATAGTAGGGTGGCCCCCAATAGTTGGCTACACTTTCATGGCATTTCTCGTGAGATTTTTTATGGTAAGTTATGAAACTCCATTCCAGGCTGTGTCTGGGTGCAGAGCTGATGGTTCAGAGAGGAGCCGGGATAGAGGCGGGGATGGTGTCGGTGGGCGGGGCCTATCGCTGCCCGGATTGGGAGGCTACGCGAGACTCGGACTTCACTCGTGGCACCTCACCTACCTCCACAAACTGAAGGACCTGGACCTGGTGGCAGAGTGTGAGGGAAGCCTCATGCAGGTCAGTGTTTATCCTTGCCTCTGTGACTGTACTATTTTCATACTCGTTGCATGGGACATCTGAGTCATGTAATAAAGTAAAACTGTATGTGCCAGTCATCTTCTTTCCTAGTCGAATTCAAGCAAACTCCCAACTAGGAAAACTCTTTTTCTACGCAATTCAACTGTCCAATGTTTCATGCATATTGATGTTAATGGATTTTATACCTCAGAAACTCTACAGTCCACGTATATATATAATTATATATATATGTGCAATTGCCAGTTTACCCATCCCGAACACCCCACACTCTCTCGTGTCACACAGGGCACCACGGTGGCTGCTATTGGCTACAAGATGGACCTGGGCGCCATGACAATGCGGGGCAGGATAAACTCGCTGGGCACCGTCGTGGCGACCGTGGAGAAGAGATTGGACCCAATTCCAGGGGCCCTCATGGTATCGGGACGCATCAACCATTGGACAGACGAAGCCAAGTTTGGCATAGGTCTCCTAATAGGATAGATTGATTCCACCATAATATATAGTACTTACATATTATACACTCCTCTACAATCTTGGGTCATTCAACATCTCCGTGGTGTAAAGTAATGTATTAGCACTGGTCTTATTGATCATGTTATGTGAGTCCTGTATATCTAACCATTGCACCTGTTACGCATTACTGTTAGCAGGAGCCTTTCAAAGACCATGTGCAGTATTGTTCTATATAGCTAACAATGAATATTCTTAAGAGCGCTGCAGTGACACACGCATAAGCCTGTACAGTGAACACCATTAGCTAAGTGAAAACAAAATGCAAGTTTCCACACATGTACACAGTCATAATAATGTGCACTCCTTTTTCGAACAGAAAATATACATGTGTGACTGTCACGACGTGCAACTAAATTAAAAAACTCCCGAATCTTTCAGTTTCGCTATTAGTTGGTCCACGTCTTCGACCTTTGACCCTGCCTCTCTGACAGGTGGGTCCTCCACACTCAGCACAGTGAGAGAGGGGTTAATGTCTACTCCAAGGTCACCTGGGGTCATCTGAGCCAGCGGCTTCTTCTTGGATTTCTGGAGTGAAAAAATAGAGGTAGTATTATATATAGTTTACAGACAAATGGGCAGAAAAACAACCAACCAAATGCAGAAACGGCACTTATGTTGAATTTGTAAGTGCAGACTCGAGGCTGATTTTGCACCAGCAAAAAGGCTGCAATCACATCTTATCTTGTTTAGAGCGAAGGACAATAGATATGGCTATGTATGTATAGCTTGCATTCATACAGTTATCCAGTTATCCCTAGTGCATGAGTGATTGATACCATGATGTTAGCTGTCTGGTGCATAGTACCATGATGTCAGCTCTAGTGTGGCATAATAGCTCATACCATAATGTTAGGTAATGTGGCATAGCGTGGTTCGTTCAGTCTCAGATCAGCCGTCACCACTGCCGGGAGCGACAGACGGACATTCTCCAGACCTCCGTCTACCTCCCTGGTAACGGCCAGCCCCTCCCCCTCCACACTGACGGCGGAGGCGAAGGTGGCCTGGGGCCAGTCGAGAAGAGCAGCCAACATCTGACCCGTCTGGTTACAGTCGTCATCAATAGCCTGCGGGGGCAAGGATTTGTACAATACAACGAAGTGGTTCAAGTATAAGGTAGAACCAATAGCCTGCGGGGGCAAGGATTTGTACAATAAACGAAGTGGTTCAAGTTAAGGTAGAACCAATAGCCGTGCGGGGGCAAGGATTTTGGTACAATACAACGAAGTGGTTCAAGTATAAGGTAGAACCAATAGCCTGCGGGGGCAAGGATTTGTACAATACAACGAAGTGGGTCAAGTATAAGGTAGAACCAATAGCCTGCGGGGGCAAGGATTTGTACAATACAACGAAGTGGTTCAAGTATAAGGTAGAACCAATAGCCTGCGGGGGCAAGGATTTGTACAATACAACGAAGTGGTTCAAGTATAAGGTAGAACCAATAGCCTGCGGGGGCAAGGATTTGTACAATACAACGAAGTGGTTCAAGTATAAGGTAGAACCAATAGCCTGCGGGGGCAAGGATTTGTACAATACAACGAAGTGGTTCAAGTATAAGGTAGAACCAATAGCCTGCGGGGGCAAGGATTGTACAATACAACGAAAGTGGTTCAAGTATAAGGTAGAACCATAGCCTGCGGGGGCTAAGGATTTGTACAATACAACGAAGTGGTTACAAGTATAAGGTAGAACCAATAGCCTGCGCGGGGGCAAGGATTTGTACAATACAACGAAGTGGTTCAAGTATAAGGTAGAACCAATAGCCTGCGGGGGCAAGGATTTGTACAATACAACGAAGTGGTTCAAGTATAAGTAGAACCAATAGCCTGCTGGGGGGCAAGGATTGTACAATACAACGAAGTGTTCAAGTATAAGGTAGAACCAATAGCCTGCGGGGGCAAGGATTTGTACAATACAACGAAGTGGTTCAAGTATAAGGTAGAACCAATAGCCTGCGGGGGCAAGGATTTGTACAATACAACGAAGTGGTTCAAGTATAAGGTAGAACCAATAGCCTGCGGGGGCAAGGATTTGTACAATACAACGAAGTGGTTCAAGTATAAGGTAGAACCAATAGCCTGCGGGGGCAAGGATTTGTACAATACAACGAAGTGGTGTTCAAGTATAAGGTAGAACCAATAGCCTGCGGGGGCAAGGATTTGTACAATACAACGAAGTGGTTCAAGTATAAGGTAGAACCAATAGCCTGCGGGGGCAAGGATTTGTACAATACAACGAAGTGGTTCAAGTATAAGGTAGAACCAATACGAACTAAACATGACTGCTCGTAAAGACCAGGCACACAGTATATACTACTTGTATAAAGTGGACAGTCAACACTTAATTCCACATAAAAGTCTACGAAAATGTGGTATTAACATGTAAAGGAATGGTTTAATTTGTGAAAGAATGAGCAATTTGTTCCACAAATTACGTAAAGCATTACAGTATGCACTATAAACTGGTACCAGCTTGGTTCATTTCACTATCCAAGGAAAAATAATTATGATGAAGGAGTCTCCTCACCTGTTTCCCCAGCACGACAAGGTTGGCCTCCTCCTTCTTGACGAGAGCGGCCAGAATCTTGGCCACACCCAGTGGGAGGAGTCCCTCGTACTCTGACCCCGATACCTCCACGTGTAGCGCCCGGTCGGCACCCATTGCCAGCGCCGTACGCAGTGTCTCCTGAAATCATCAACATTAGAATCACATGTAACATTACGGTATGTGGCATTGCCTGTACATGAAAATCCGCCATTCAGATGACTAGGTCGGCTTGCTTTGCTTGCCACTTATACAATTAGATCTGCCTCTTTTTCTCTAGTTTATCTACTGACCTGGCATGCCTGAGGACCGCAGCTGACAGCAATGACCTCAGATGCTACCTGCTTCTCCTTTAGTCTCACAGCCTGTAGTACAGAGAGACCCAAACAATTGTTAGGGAGAACACAAGTTTGTTCTGAGCTGGGGGGTCCTCATTTCAGGGGTTCCACTGTATAGTTGTGTGTGATGTCGTATTGTTGGGGAGGTCCTCATTTCAGGGGTTCCACTGTATAAAGTTTGTGTGTGTGTGTGTCTAGGATTTAGAAGGAGTAGGGGAGAAAGCCTCACCTCCTCCAGAGCTATCTCGTCGAAGGGGTTCATCGAGTGCTTGACTCCCTCCTTCACCACCCCTGTTTTGTCCGGTTTGACGCGCACCTGGGTGCACCGGAGGCATTACAACCTATCTGTAAACACTCCTCTGGAACACAAAGTACAATTTACCTTGACTGCATAGTCGATGACGCGCTTACAGCCCACTAACACTCGCAACTGCGACATATCTATCTTGCTAGCTTGAGATGGTGGCGGGCATTAAATGGAATACGTTAACGCAATGAAAAGGGGGCGTGCCGCTCAACGTGTTGATATCTAAAAGGCGTGGGCGAGTTCTCTTGGCATCTGCCTCGGAGATTCACTCCTGGGGTTTGCCTACTTATAGGGTAGCTGTACAACTCATATGGTGGCTAGGAAGCGAAGTGCGGACCGCGGGGAGTGAGTAGATCGCAGCGGCGCCAGCAACAGATTTCTCTGGGAGAGTTGACGGAGGGTTTACCTTGATCGACGACGAGAATTGAAGGTTTGTAGCTGTTTACGAGATTGCTGCAGTGTATATATACTCGTATGTTTTTGTGTTAACCCAGACGTGAGTTGACCGTTACTTCAGCGTAGCTGCGGACGGAGCCTCTGCGCGGTAGCCTGGTTCTCCCAATCGCTGGCTTGTTCATGCATGATCCGCTTTTCAGTGTTGTTGGTTGGCTTGCTCTGTGCTTGTTAGCAGCACAGCCTACTCGTTTTCTTAGACCTGCATGATCGCTAGCTAGTGGAACGATACAACAGGGCCGTAGAGTTGCAGCTAAGATGGCTATAGTTATGCATTTTGCCCATATTCGCAAGTACACAAAGTAAGCCGTGTTTCGATGACAGAACCTTCCATGTGCAATTAGAAGCCTGCATCTACTCCAAATCAGCTTGCCTCAGGGCCACCATATCATAGTACAATCTATTTTCGCTTGTGTCGCTCGTATTGTAACAATTATTAAGGTAGTATGTGGATGTGGTGGTAGTTCAGCTGAACCACATCTGAACGATGGATTAGGTCAACCTGGCAAAACATCCTTACCACACACGTCTCATTATTGTCCAGATTTCGTCCACCGCTGTGTTTGTTTCTTTACTCCCAAGTATTTTCGGTGTGTGCGGTGTGTGACTGTTTCGTGCTGGCTTGCAACGCATAACGCGATTATGATGTAAGGTGTTGTGCACACTGTTTACCATGAGGCGGTAAATTCCGGCCATTGTTAGCTTGTCGTCCAAATGGTCCGGTGTATGCACTAAGCCTTTCACACTGTCTATGTCTAGGGGAAATGTTGTTATATTCCCGTACCCACACATAACAAGCAAGCACCACACTCGCTGATGTGTTTGTGTCTTAACGTCCTAGTCAGTGTGTGTGTATATGCCTATAATAGGTACAACTGCATAATAAACCAGCCTCATGCATAAAAGATTTTATTGCCCTCTAACGTATAATAATCACACTCGCAAAGACCAGCTTATTGTAATGTAAATGGTAGAACAAAGGCCCACTACAGTATATAGTATGTGATGGGAGGTACCCGTGTTTGGCTATGACAGATGGAGCTCCATTAGGACATGGCCATAATATCCTACACACCCCAGGCGAGCATTAGGTCACGGCAGATGGACGACAGATGCATGTAGTGTCTTCGTTCATTTACTGCTAGCAATCTCCCTCCTTCCCTCCCTTCTCTTCTCCCATAAATGTATGGTATACATAACACTCTTTACCAGTAATACAGTTTTCAGTTCTCGAGGGCCTGACTGCCCGGTACAAAAGTCGATCCCCCTTGTGTTCTAAGATAAAGGTGTTAAGCTCTCATCTGTACAGGATGGCGTTGGCTGGGGACGAGAGGAAGGCGCCGGCCGCCATTCCACCCCGGAAGGTGGTCCCGGGACGGAACCGGTCTCAGACCATCATCAGGAACACTGACTCCAGAGAGGTCCTCATGGGCATGGGCTTTCCAAAGAACAGAGCGTAAGTTCAAATAATGTGTAATACAACTCTTGTCCTTATTTGGAAGCTGATAATGATCGATTCATTATGTAGTCCGCTAAAGGAAACTTAAAACAAATGAATTTGGGTTAAACATGCCGGCAATTGTCTTAGTGCCCCTTGTGGATCGATGGCTACGTGGCTCATAAGCTGTTTATTACCTGAATACCCACTCCGTGAGCAAGAGGGGAATTAGTATATACTGTAGGTGACTTTCAAGTGGTCTGCAAAGCTGAATCGCTGATAATCGTACGCTGCTCAAATTACAGGAAGCTTACATGTTGACTATAATGCTTACAGGCATTCCATGTCAAGTGTACACATAACACATGGCAGGATACAGTATAGTCACCTGTCACTCGTATTAAATACTTTTATCCCCTAATATTTAAATATTGGCTTTCTTATCAACACTGTTGTGTCGGCCAATAGATGTCTGGTAGGGTATTGTGTGCACGCACAGTCCTCCCACTCAATGTTGTCTCAGGCCCAGGGTCTTGATCCACGCACAGTCGTCCCACTCAATGTTGTCTCAGGCCCAGGGTCTTGATCCACGCACAGTCGTCCCACCCAATGTTGTCTCAGGCCCAGGGTCTTGATCCACGTACAGTCGTCCCACTCAATGTTGTCTCAGGCCCAGGGTCTTGATCCACGCACAGTCCTCCCACCCAATGTTGTCTCAGGCCCAGGGTCTTGATCCACGCACAGTCCTCCCACCCAATGTTGTCTCAGGCCCAGGGTCTTGATCCACGTACCATATCACACAACAACACTTGCAACTCCATCCAGTTATCTTGTGTTACCCTTGTGCACACTGACACACCGGTCTCGTGCATATTGAGCCCCGCTACTAGTTTCAACTGAAATTACAGACGCACACACACACAAACATATCCGTCGTAATTGACATACGATAGTCGAGATGCTAGATGTATATACGGGGTCGTTTGAAGTGTTACAAAGTTAGGATCTTAAGACCATTTGGGGATCAATTTCTTGTTTTGCGTGTCCATTTGCTTGCTGTGCCCTTCTTTGTCCGTGTGTGTATGACACTTGCATGCATACCTCCATCCAGCCACAGTTAAGGTTTCCACAGTTTTCCCATTACCACACTGACATGGTGACCTCACTTATAAAGACCTGCACTTGTGTGTGTTATGTAATGTCTTGCAGAGGGAAAAGCTTAAAAGCAGACAATTTGTGTACCCAAACAGTTGCTGCTGCTTGGGAAAATCCTACTGTGCTGGCCTGGCGTGTAAGTAATTGGGGAAGAAAATAGCCATAATTGGGGAAGAAAATAGCCAGCAACTGAAATTAGAAGGGCAGAGGGAATGTCTTTATCATACACTAGTTCCTGAAATTAGGAGGGCAGGGGGAATGTCTTTATTATACACTAGTTCCTGAAATTAGGAGGGCAGGGGGAATGTCTTTATTATACACTAGTACCTGAAATTAGGAGGGCAGGGGGAATGTCTTTTATCATACACTAGTTCCTGAAATTAGGAGGGCAGGGGGAATGTCTTTATTATACACTAGTACCTGAAATTAGGAGGGCAGGGGGAATGTCTTTATTATACACTAGTACCTGAATTTAGAGGGCATGGGGAATTTCTTTATTAACACTAGTACTCTAGCGCATGATGTTTAGTAAATTGCAGGGGGAATGTCCTTTTATCATACACTAGTTCCTGAACTTAGGAGGGCAGCAGGAATGTCTTTATTATACACTAGTTCCTGAAATTAGGAGGGCAGGGGGAATGTCTTTATTATACACTCACGTACCTGAAATTAGAGGGCAGGGGGAATGTCTTTTACTCATACACTAGTTCCTGAAATTAGGAGGGCAGGGGGAATGTCTTTATTATACACTAGTACCTGAAATTAGGAGGGCAGGGGGAATGTCTTTATTATACACTAGTTCCTGAAATTAGAAGGGCAGGGGGAATGTCTTTATTATACACTAGTTCCTGAAATTAGGAGGGCAGAGGGAATGTCTTTATTATACACTAGTTCCTGAAATATAAGGGCAGGGAATGTCTTTATCATACACTATTTCCTGAAAGAGGAGGCAGAGGGAATGTCTTTATTATACACTAGTTCCTGAAATTAGGAGGGCAGGGGAATGTCTTTATTATACCTAGTACCTGAAATTAGGAGGCAGGGGAATGTCTTTATTATAACACTAGTTTCCTGAAATTAGAAGGGCAGGGGGAATGTCTTTATCATACACTAGTTCCTGAATTAGGAGGGCAGAGAATGTCTTTATTATACACTAGTTCCTGAAATTAGGAGGGCAGGGGGAATGTCTTTATTATACACTAGTTCCTGAAGTTAGGAGGGCAGGGGGAATGTCTTTTATCATACACTAGTTCCTGGTGTTCTTCTTGTCTCTTGGATTGGAGTGGCAGTATACAATATTTTGCCCAGGGCATCGCACTATGATTGCTCCAATCAACTAATGAACTAAAGATTAATTGAGTCTCCCCACTGGTGCATTCCTTGCTACTGTATATAGTGTATTATAGCCTCGTATCAATTGTGATCCTACAAGGAATTTACATACTTTCCTACCATTATAAGTTATGGCCCAACTATTACTAGCTCATTAGTAGGTACCGCTTTTTAGGAAAGTGGGATGGTTGCTGGTTAATTTTTCTGTCCGCCCTGGTCTGGATATGGAGAGTGAAGTGCGTTGCAAACGACATGGTCCCAAGGGGTCTACAGTATTATACTGACGTGGACCTTTTACACAATCTGCGCTTGGTATGTGCGCTACGCACGTGATCTTCTATGAGGTTGCAACACAGAGGCAAGGTTTACATAGAAGGAAGAACTGCCCTGGGTGACATTCAAACCAACAACACACTGCTTTCTAGGCAGAGCACTCTCCCTACTTATGTATGTAGCTACCCGGGCAGCTCAGCAGACAGGACCCGAATTTGAGACAGTGGTTACTGTGATGGTAGACAGAACAAAGCAAGCTCTGGGACCGGGGCCCAAGGCTCCAGCCAAGTTTTCCCTCACACTCAGACCTGAATGGAGCTGGACATTGGGGTGGAAGCCATTTCACAGCAAACTGTCATTAATGCACGTGTGTACATGTGTGTGTGTGCAGTGATGGGACCCACCGTAAGTGTCAGATTTTGTCTTTTGCAGTGGTTTTCTTGTGGTTGGTGGGTTTATGGATAGAGCAGGAGTTCTTGTGTTTCAGTTTGGTGTGTTGTTGGATTGTGTGTTTACGTCCTACTGGTGGCTCCCCCCCCCCATGTGGGTGGCCGTGGTCGATGTATATGTGTTTGTGTGCGGTTGTTGGAGGTTTCAGTGTGACCTATCGAATAACAGAGGCTTCCAGGCTTTGAAATTCCCTTCCTGTTGAACTAAAACCCCTTCCTGTCCCTTTGCCTCCCTCCTGTTACATCTCACTCCTTCCTCCTTCCTATCGCTTTTTCTTCCACCTCCCTCCTGTATTCTCGCCCCCACCCCCGTTCCTCTTTTCCCATTCCTTCTTCTTTACAGTGTGCCTTAGATAAATCTTGCTTCCTTCCATTCCACTGTTACATGTTACATTACATAACACTTACTCTCCTGTACACATGCAAAAACTGACTGATTATACGTACACCTCATCCCAATGCAGATTAATCCATGCTTATAAGCTCACTTGTCATACAAACCAATGTGATCTGTACTAGTGTTTACATGCTAATAAACCTATACACACCACGCAAGGTCACAAGTAATACCGTGCAAGTTATGTGTAACTTGACCTTGAAGCATTCATTGTCAGGCCTGTTTGGGTTGGTTACGAAGACCGCCCCATAATCATCCCTTCCTGGTTGATGTCATGTGCAGTCATGCAGTACCACACGGTGCAGGTAGCTAGAAGCAGTGACCTCACACTTCCCGCTACATGTTTATCGTGCTTTCGATCGTTTCACTGGAAAACTATCCCAAACATAGCAACTGCGTACTGTGGACTGTTTGTAAGCAGAAGACCTTGGAATTGAGGAAGACGCGTGGTTTAGTGTGGTGTTTGTCATCCGGCCAATAGGAACCTACACTGTAGAATATACCGTTTCTCTAGAAAGTAATAACTGTTGTCATTGTGTCTCGTGCAGGGAGAAGGCGCTGGCTGCAACAGCCGACAGTGGAGTGCAAGTCGCTGCTGACTGGTAAGAACAGAGGAGAGAGGAGGGAGGGAGGAAGAGGGGGAGGGGGAGGGTAGGAAAAAGAGAGAGAGAGAGAAGCGGGGCGGGGAAGAAAGGAAGAGAGACATGCGAACCTTTTTGTTGTTGTGTATTTTTGTTTGTCGGTCTGTTTGTCTACGTTCTGTCAACTTTAGCTACGTATGTAAAAGCATTTGAAGGAAGGTAATAATGTGTCTGTTAAACTGTCATGTTTTGCTAGCCACCGGTGCTGCTGCAGTATACAAACAGCGAGGGCAGCACCCACGCCCCCTGCCAGGAAGCCTTCTGCTTTCGTGCTGTGTTTGTCTGTGTCAGACAAAAGGATAGAGAGAAAACAGGGTCACCGTGGGCCTGTGGGTGTATGTATGTACATTGATTGGTAAATGTGTGTTTAAGGTGCATTGGCAGATGCTCAAGTGTCTTTTATGCCCTTTTAGTGCTTTCATACGTCCTTCTGTGCACGTCCACGGTGCATAACAGAGACAGACATAATGTGTGTGTGTGCATGTGTGCATGTGTGTGTGTATGTGTAGCATATGTCCATTTCTACGTAGTTATGTTACCTTTGAGCCCTAAAGTAATGTATAGGTCAAGTAGTACGTGAGTGTGTGTGTCTCTCTGTCACACCAGTGCCCTATGTCCGCTCACCATGCCTCGCTTGCTTCCTGAAAAAGGACGGGATGTGGAAACAAGATGTTGAGTGTGTTTGTGTGTCTGCAAGCATTTCTCTCCTCCATGTCCTTGCTTTCTTCACCATCACACCGTGTTTTAGTTGCGCGTCTGACTACGTCGTTTAGCTTCCACTAGTTACAGTATATACATTGTACCGTAGGTATACGTATGAGCTACTGTTACTGGCCGGAGCAGTCTCATAGTGTGTGTGTATAGGTGTAGGTAGCTGTAGTGGCGGAGATGTTAAAGTAGCTACGCCTAGTGTGTTGTATAGAACACTGGAAAGAGGAATGCAATGGAAGTTGGTGGAGACATGGACATGTGTGAAGAAGGGAGAGAGTGGGAGGGGACAGGGGAGGAGGGAGGACGAAGAAGACTGGAGCCTTACTCCTTTCATTGCTTTCCTAACCAGAGCCTTTTAAAGCAAGTCTCCGTGTAATGACGCCACACCTGCTACTTGTGGTAATGCAGCCGTACAACTGTATTGGTGCCTTTGAGATTCTAGGATTAGCACTGCTCATGCACTCTCTAGTGATATCACATGCACCTTCCGATGTACTGTCATATGTCTTTAGTCTTCAACCGTGCCTAGTTACGCCACCTTCCCACTCTGCAAGCGCGTCATGTGCTGCGATTAGTCAGATTGGACAGGCAGCTCTATTCTTCAGAGATACATAAAATCGTGTCACCTTCGTAGAGAGCAACGTTTTTGTAGCGTACACAAGATAATTGTATCGATTTGTGATGGGTCGGCTAGGTAGGCGTTGGGTTTGCGGGGGATGACGGATCCAGGCTCTTCTTTATGTACAGAGTGACACACTGTTTCTCCGCCCATCCATTCTTTCTGCCTACCTCTCTCTCCCCCTTACTAACTCCACCCCCTTCCTCCTCTCTAGCCCTCAAGAGCTTCAAGGTCGTTCACTAGAACTGAGACTGATGACGAGTTTACCTAGTATCCGCTCTGCGAGCGCCCTCATTCCATCCTCCAGGGTTGTGTTCCCCATTTGATTCGACCCAGACCTGACACAAGCTCTACCAGAGAGTAATAGTATACGCCGTGTCCTCTCGGAAACCCTAGGGAAACAGTGGACGCGTACATCGGAGAGCAGACACTCCTATCGCACAGGCGGGAGAGAAGGATGAAGAAAGGAGTACACAAGTCGGACCTCACGTCACTCTCGCCAGTATTCCAGGTCACATGACTACCCACTTCTTCTCGTTCTCTCACGCCATTGCCTACGCAAATGTGTTGAAGTGTTTGTATGTATGATGTTTTCGAGGGAAATTGAAGCGTACTTTATCGTCCCGGTTCTAGTTTAGCATATCCGTTTGATTGATGATGTGTATGCTCACAAATCCTGCTACTTGTAGAGTTTGTACAATAACAAGCTAACGTATCAGTTATGATAGTTCAACACTCGATGAATTGGGACACATTTGTCATTTGATTAATAGTAGTAATCTAACATGTAGACGAAGTTGCCCGTATCAATATTGCAATCAGGAAACTAGACCAAACAAAACGTGCAGTCATTACAGTGTAATAAAAAATGTAAAGCATGCATCTATGAACATGAAGAGCAGCACGCTACCAAAGCGAGTAGAGAGTATAGGAGAATCTATAGTAAGGTACAATGTGGTGTACAGGTAGTATCACTGGAACATCACACGACTGAGTAGTGGCAGCGAAATTGTATACAAGAGAATATGTCATTCAATTCGTAGGTTCGAGATAGTGATCTCGAATACAAGCAGCAGAATGATAGTGATGGAGTACGACATCTGATTTAAGCCTTTGCCCTACCCGTACCTCCTTCACAATTATTCTTATTTCTCGAATAACCCGCAATTAACTACTTATGCAGCAGACATGGACAGTACTTGAGTGTCCATAGCAGCACGTGTCAATTTGATGCCCACAGCATACAAGGTAGAACATGGAGACAGGAGACACCTGCGGCCACGAGAATCGACGTATTGATTAATTTGTATTGTTGCTTTGTCCTTAAGTCAGCAGAATTGTAGTCCCGTAGACTTCTTGTAAATGCAGGACACAGCTTAGCTGGACTTTGCTTAGCCTGCGACAGCGAATTGTGCCAAGCACTTAGTGTGTCTTGTACCCACAGCGCGATTGACAAACGATACATAACTAGAGTGTGGGCCACCAACGTTTACTTGCTACGTGCATACGTTACTTGATATAAAATTGCCACAATCACCGCCCTGTTTGGCTAAAGAGCTGACCCATGTATACACATTAAATAAGAAGCTAATAGCAGCACTTGATCGACTAATCCATGGACGCACGGCTAGCACATTTACTCCAGAGGCAGTAGTAATCAGCACACAATAACACACCGGGCGGATCCATGTACTATTTGAACGTACGTTACTGCAGTATTTTTTTGAACATTCACGGAGGGACGTTGTGTAATGTGATTGTCGCCGATAGCACTTGACTATCACGAAGATGTAGTCCAGCACAATGCTGCTAGATGCGGACATAGAACCTCTACCAGCATGTTTCGAAGCTGGAGTTGTGCCCCATTGAAGTACGCAGGCCCCGGTGTTTACTAACGATAGATACGGTACTCAGTTGTACGTGCATAGAGTATTGTCTGTGTCTTATGCATATGGCTTTAAGAGCTCGCGGCTAGGAGTTCTGATTAACCACACCACATAGACAATTGTACCCCACCGATCCGCATTCGTTCTGAAGAATGAGTACGATAATGGCCCTCCTGATGGCACCACATGGGGCAGTGCTCCATACAGTCATATATGTGTACAATAATGCCTTAGAGCTGGGATCGGGGCTCTTCTTCTTTTTGAACGCGGCACAGTAGTCAGGCCCCCCGCGGCTCTCTGTGGGACGACGAGATCATGATTCTCTGGCAGTAGATCGAGCAGTCTTATACTTTGCTACTATCTTGTCTAGATATGATGTCTATGATAGAGACAGAAACGAAATTAATGGTGACTGCTGTAACTAATGTTGAAACAGCAGTTAACTCATGTCAGTTGAGATGCCTACACCTCAATAGTGGATGATATAGTATATCACTATGACAGACAACAGTCTCCATTTCCTGTATGTGTGTATGATTAGTGGTGTATGGGCAGTACTCATCAGTCCCTGAGTCCCACATGACTGAGATACGACGCCAGTACGTATTGTATGCCACGGCATCCTGCCAGTATCGGCCAGCGCAGCACCAAGGATAGTCAGACTCAAAAACGTACCAGTGCCAAGGTACACTCCCCCCACCCCTCCGGCTGTTCTAGTAGCCGCAGGTCATACGTGTCAGCTCTGCGACGGCTACTGCTCTGTCACTCATGTCCAGTAGCTGGCTGTATGGAGAACAAACAATTTTTGCCTCGATACCATCTGCTCTGGCTGAATTTGCTACTGAGCAGCATAGAGCTCGCATGCCTGTGGTATAGTGATGCGTACTGATGCCGAGAATGTTGTATTGCCTAAAGTCACACTACATAAAATACGTTGCATATGTCGCGATAAGTGTTATAGGTTAGCCAGTACGCTGGTCATAGGAATGTTTCATTCGTATAACCTGAAGATATCATAATTACCGTATTTCCCCAGATGACACATTTTCGTATCCGCCATGCGTCTGAGTGCCTCAGCACACCACAGTATGAGCATTACGCGCGATCTTCACTCTACAGACGATAGCACCCCACTGCACACACACTAAAGAGCTGCTCTATTAGCACACTGTGTCATTGATGACTGTGACTGTGTGCCTACAATAGTCAGGTGTTGCATTGCTCAAACACTGCTAGATCTAGTAAAATTGCATTAACAGTCAACACCGGTTGATACATGACCTATGAGTC